GCTCTGGATTGGCCACAGCCCCAGGAGGTCTCTAAGTGCTCTGTGGCTGGCCTTGGACTCTGTGGAGCCTCCGGGGACCCTGCAGTCTCTGGGGTGCTCCTGGCTGGCAGCATCCAGGCTGCAGGGACACAGCAGGATCTCAGTCTTTTCCCTCTGGCAGGAAACCCAGTGAACCAGATCAATGAGACCATCAACTACAACGAGCATTTTGCCTGGAGCTTCAACGCAGACTATGACCACAGCTATAGCGAGGGGCTGGAGAAGGGGCTGCCCAACCCCATCCTCTACGTGGCAGAGAAGTTCAGCATGCAGAGCCCCTGCAGCGTGCACGGGCAGTACCGCATCGCCGGGCACTACGCGTCGGCCATGCTCTGGTGAGCCTTCCTCCACTGGTGCAGGCAGGGGAGGTGCAAGGACGTGGGAAAGGCTCTGCTGCCCTTCCCAGGAAGAAAGCCATGTGCCTGGAGGGGCCTCTGCAAGGTCTGTGGTCAAACCAGCGGGCCTGTAGGTGCCTGGGGGTGAGCAGAGAGGTGGGATGATCCTGGTTTTCTCTGCTGGTCAGCTTCACCAGGGCTGGGCACAGGAGAGAGGAACATGGTACAGATCCCTGCTGTGATGTGCTGATGATGGCAGGGGGCCCATCCCTGTGGAGGGAGTTGGAGCTGCTGTCCTGAGTGGCCCAGAGAGGCCCCTGGGCATGTGGAGAATTCTCCCATCCCTATCTGTGAGAGCACTGAATGATGGGAGTGGGACCAGATGAGGAGAACCTGATGATGCTGTTATTGTAGGGTCAATCTGGACTCCTCAGTGGGATCTGCTGGGCAGTGATGTTACTGCTCATTTGGGCTGAGGGAGAACTGGATCTTGGCTGTGAGGAAACACTCAGTGTTTCTACAGTGGGTTGTGGAGGACAAGGACCATTGCAGCTCCCCCTGTTCTCCCTGCCCTGGGTTTGAGAGCAGGTATGCAGGATCCAGGAGAGGAGCCTGGTACCACAGAGCAAGAGCTCCTGGCCAGTAGCTGAAAACTTCTGTTACCCAGCTCCTGAGATAAGATCAGGGCTGTTACAAGTGACTTATGCCTGCTCCCACAATTACCCCAGTGCTGTGTGCTACTCTCTGAAGTCTGCACTGCCCAACACGTGGAAGGCTGGGGATCTGAGATCTTCTAGATACACTGAGGGGGCTGCTGTGACCTCCTTGACCCTGCTACGGTCTGTGGACTGAGCAATGGGAACAGGAAATTGGAGGTCACTCCAGTCTGCCCACAGAGCTTCTTGGCCTCATGAATGCAACCTGGATCCCAGATTTCTCCTTCCACATGAAAATCCTCACAGAGGGTGTCCCAGTCCATGACACTTGCACAACTCGCCTGTTGGTCTTCTCTTGTCTCCAGGGTGGCCTTTTGCACTTGGCTCATCTCCAACATGCTCTTCTCCATGCCTGTCCTAGTCTATGGAGGCTACATGCTGCTGGTTACAGGTGCCTTCATGATCTTCTCTTTGCTCTCTTTCTCCACCGTGAGGAACTCCCTGGTGTGCCCCATCCACTTTGGGACCGCGGTGCTGCGCACGGGCTACGGGGGATCTTTCTGGCTCACACTGGCCATTGGTAAGGACACCAAGCTACATGAGGGCATCCCAACCCTCTGGGGGTGCAGGAGTCCTGGTGCCTTCCCCCCCCAAATTCATGTGAGAGAGCTCAGGGAGTGCAGCCCCACCAAAGCCCCTGCTGTGCCTTGACAAAGCAGATCCCGGCAGAGGTGGGGAAAGGGCTGGCAGAAGAGGGAGCACTATCCCTATCTCAAGGGTGGTGGAGGGATTTTTAGCCCCTGAGGTGCAGTGGTGAAAGGAGATGGAGATCACATGTCTGGATTTTAAGACACATGCAGGTCAAGGGAGGTGATTCTCCCCCTTTACTTGGCTCTGGTGAGACCCCACCTGGAGCATTGTGTGCAGTACTGAAGCCCCCAACATAAGAAGAGACATGGAGCTGTTGGAGAGAGTCCAGAGGAGGCCACAGAGGTGCTGGGAGGGCTGGAGCAGCTCTGCTCTGGAGCCAGGCTGGGAGAGTTGGGGTGTTGAGCCTGGAGAAGAGAAGGCTCCAGGGAGACCTTAGAGCACCTTCCAGTGCCTGAAGGGGCTCTAGGAAAGCTGGGGAGGGACTTGGGACAAGGGCAGGGAGGAAGAGGACAAGGGGGGAAGGGATGAAAACTGAAAGAGGGGAGGTTGAGGTGAGACATGAGGAGGAAATTCCTTAGTGTGAGGGTGGTGAGAGCCTGGCCCAGGTTGCCCAGGGAAGCTGTGGCTGTGGGCATGGATGGCCCTGGCAGTGTTGAAGGGCAGGTTGGATGAGGCTTGGAGCAGCCTGGGCTGGTGGGAGGTGTCCCTGCCCATGCAGGGTTTGGAACTGGATGTTATTTAAAGTCCCCTCCAACTCAAACCAGTCTGTGATTCTGTGAGAATCACAGGTTTAAGACACTCAACTCAGCATCTGAAGCCACCTCATAGAGCAGAAGGCCATCTTCCACAAGAGAAGGCATTGTCCCTGGCAGGGGGACATCAGAGGAGGGGTGCAGGGTGCTCACAGGAATGCTCTCACACAGCACATTGTCTTCTAGGCTTGCTCTGTTTTGTGACTGGGATCACTGTGGTCACACTGCACTACTTCAACTTGAACCTGCTGAAAACTTTCTTTGATCTCCCTGAGGACAAAGCTGAGGAGTACCAGGAGATGACTGAAGTGTACATCAACCCTCACTTTATGAACCAAGGATTACCTCCTTCTCAGTCCCCCAAGCTGAACCCCAAAAGCATCTAGAATAAATTTTTTTCCTGATACTTCCCTGAAGGTGGACCTGAAAGGGCAGAGCACAAACTCTTCTTGATGTCCCTAGAGACCCAGACCCAAACCTCTCCGGGCTGGTTGCTGTACTAAGAAGAGTAGAAAAGCTGCTCCACCAATCAAGTCTCCATGGGCTGGCGTGAGGAGGCCACCATATCTGAACACTGGAGACCTGGCAGCTTCAGTCCAATTAATGAGACACAACATCATTTCAGTATTTTGGCTCTTTTCTTTCTGAGAGAAGACCCTCTCTCTTCAGTTACTTCTTTCTTTCATGTGATATCTGTGTTGCACTAATAGGATTTGTTATGGGCAAGAGTTCATATTTTCAATAAACTTTTGTTAAAAAAAAACACACAGCTCCCTTGAAACACTTGGGACATGTAGAGAGGTTGGTTTCTTAAGTGGGGCCTACAAGGCTTACCTGCTGGTGGCTGCTTGCAAGCCCCCAGAAGATGGGGGAAGCTGCCCTGGCAGAGGTGCCCCCAGGGAAGGGCCAGGCTTGTTGGCATGTGCTGAAGAAAGCTCATGAGAAACCCTTGTCCTGGGGAGCAGCACACTGTAGAAGAGCTGAAAAAGGACCTTAGTAAGCTGAGTGACAGAACAAAAACCCTAAGATTAAACCAACAAAACACCCTCAGGTGAAACAGGAGGAAAGGGGAGGGAGGGAGGAAGGATGAGGGGAGAAAAGGTGGAGGAGGAAGAGGGAGAAGAGGAGGATGAGCTCCTCTGCACCAGGTCCTCCAGCAGCACCACCTGGTCTTTGACCTTGGCCCTGTGATCCCGAGGGAGCAGAGCATCAACCCCGTGGGTACAGCAGGACCCCCCACAGCCCTCCCAATGCCAGGGAGGCCCAGCCCTCGGGAACACTGCACAGGTCTCTTCCTCCGTGCCTCAGTTTCCCCACGTGTGACATGACAGCAGCCACAACCAGCTGCCAGGCGGGAGGAGGAGCGAGGGGGTCCTGGCAGTGGGGACAGACAGTGGCACAGGTGGCAGGGATGCTGCTGTGCTGCCAACCAGCCCGGATGGATCATTTCTACTGAGCCTCCTCAAGATCTTTCCCTCCTGGAAGTTCCCTGATGAAGTGTTCTGTGAGCTGGACCTGGTGGCACTGCTGGAGCAGTACAGACACACCGAAAAGGACCCCAAACTGAGCCAGGAATCCCAGCTGGAGCTGGTGAGGAAAGTGATAAGGCAAAGCCAGCCCCAAACACCCCAGCAGGGCTGGCAGGGAGGCTCCGTCCCCAGGAGGGAAGGGGATAGTTGTGTTTCCAGCCTGTCCCACGCAGCTGAGTGGTTTGGCAGGGCTGAGGGCCAGGGGTCCTGCAGCAGGTGCTGCTTCCTCTTTTGACTCCTCTTCTGTCTGGAATCAAAACATACAAATACGAATATTTACTGTTCTCTGTCCTGCTGCCTCACAGCTACAGCAGCCACTCCAAGGGTGAAGAGGTGGTGGCACAGGAGCCCTTTCCCTGTGCTGTTTGCCATCAGCCCAGAGACTAAATTCCAACTCCCACAACCAGAGCCGAGACCAAGAGGAGGAACTGCAGCCAATGCTCAGCAACGTGCTGCACTCTGCTGGCCAGGCCCCCAAGACCTGTCCTGACTCCTGCTGATGTGGAGTGGCCCCAGCCCAGCACTTTGTATTCCAACACCAGTCCTATAGATTTTTATTCCAGCTTCAGGGTCTTTGTTTCAGCCCCAGGCTTGCAGTTTTCTTCTCAGCTCCATCCCCTTCCCCACACTCTTTATTTCAGCTCCAGCTCTGAGATTCCAGCTCCAGCTCTGGACTCTTCATTCCAGCTCTGGGATGTCTCAGCTCCAGCCCTGCACCATTCCAGCTCCAGCTCCACAGTCTTTATTCCAGCTCCAGTTAATGTTTCATCTGCAGCCTCACTGTTTGTCTCTAGCTCCAGCCCTAGAATATCCATCCCAGCTCTGCCCTATCCAGCTCCAGCCCTGCAGTGTTCAGCTCAGCCCTGGCCCAGAGCTGAAGGGCCAGAACCCCCCATCACCGTGCGGCAGGATTAAACGCTCTGGAGCTGAAATGACCAAGAACTGGAGCCTAAATAGAGACTGGAGGGCTTGGGCTGGAGCTGAAGTCAAATGTACAGGCACAGGGCTGGTAGAAACGCTGGGGCGGAACTAAATGGGGTGGGGAAGGGATGGAGCCGAAATACCAGCTGTAGGGCTGGAGCTGGAACACAGCTGGGACACTGCGTGTCTCCTCCCCTGTTGCCCCTGCCCGGTGTGGGGGCTGTCCCTTCTCCTCATCTTTGAGGATCCCCCATCAAGGGAAGGAGGGGAAGGGGTTGGAATCCTGCCACTGCTGAGCCAGAGCCCCAGCACCCTGCTCTGCTTCCCCAGCAGCGGGGAGGGACACAGCTGGGGTTCCTCTGGGGCAAGGGGACTGTCCCCAGTCTCACCTGGGAGCTCCCACAACTGAGCCCTAAGAAGGGCTGAACCCCGGGTGGAGATGCAGGGACCCCCCCTGAGCCTGGAGGGGCTCTGGCACCCTCATGGCTACATGCTGGGGCTGGATGTTGCCCCCCCCCCAGCCCAGGCATGTCCCCAGGGTGCCATCATGGAGCCACAGCTTCTGTCACCAGGCTGTGCCCCATCGGGGCCTCACTGTGACCCTGCTGCCACCCACCATGCCTGGGGCTGAGGGCAGCCACAACAGCCACAGCCACACCTGGCTCTCGGTGCCCACCTCCACCCGGAGGCTGGGGATGTCACCCAGTGAGGAACCAATGAAGGGGCTTTCAGAGCTCCAGTTCTCTGCAAGGCAGCACCTGGGTGACAAAGGGGGGAGCGGGTCTCTGGCTGTCCCCAAGATCCCACAGGACCAGAGCCAAGGCTCAGCCCAAAAGTCTGTGCTGGGGGGTGGGTTGACTCCCTGTCACAGTTTGACTCAGGATCAGCAGTTGAACCAGCGGCAACAATGGTCTCCATCCCCTTCCCTTCCCACCCAGGTAGGGAAGGAGAGAGGGAGAATGAGGGAGAGAGACTTCTCAGATTGAAAACCAAACTAGACAGCTTTACTTAAACACTAATGATAAACTAAAATATGTACAATTCTATACAAATGTGTATGGGAATGTGCAAACCTCTCTTGTCTCCCTCCACCCTCAGCAGCTCCTCTGGCACCTTCTGAGCTGTGAGCAGCCCCAAAAGGTCCTGGAGCTGCCAGAGAGAGGGCAGGGCAGACAGGAGCTGACGGGAGAGTGATGAGGGGCAGGGATGCACGAGCCTGGGGATCAATGGGGATGGATGGATGGATGGATGGATGGATGGATGGATGGATGGATGGATGGATGGATGGACGGACAGAGTCCTCCCTGGACGCTGGACAAGGAAGAAGAAGCAGGAAGGGTCTTGACTTCTGTGACCTCTGACCTTACACAGAGCTTGCATAGATATATGAGATGGAAAATTTTGGTCAATTTTGCTGTCTGTCTAGCCCACTCCTCCCTCCAGGAGGGTCACAGATATGACTCTTCTGCTCCCCTGTTTGGAGGTGGGCACCCCTGGGTCCCCCAGCCCTCCTGGGGCTTGCAAATGCAAGACAGGGACTACCCAGATTCTTTGAGGACAGAAGTGTTGCACTTTAAACATTTTAAAAGCAGCAGGAACCCTTCCCTGCTTCCCTTTGGCAGAGGCCAGCAGCCTCTGGAGTCAGCTGTGCAACCCTTAACACTGAGGCCAAAAATTCTCCATGAGCCCAGATCCTCCTACAGCTGAAGGGGAGAAGGCAGCTGATCCTGCAAAACAGGAGAAATGCCCTCCATACCCTTACAGCTCATTCTGTGGTGGGTTCTCCAAAGTCTCATGCTTGTACCCACCAGCGGAGGTGGCTGGAGAGGACTCCTCACCAGCCCCTCAAGTATGATCACATGGACGCTGCTGGTATGAAGACATCAGGGTCTTTTTTTTTTGGGGGGGGGTGGAATGTAGTCTTCTGTAGAGCAGAAAAGACAAAACTGGCACAAGAAAAAGGAGGGAAAAGGGATGGTTTGTGTGGGATTCTAGACACTGGCAGAGAAGCTCTGGAGCTGCTCTACCCAAGGAGGCCTTGGAGCACAGACATGAAAAGGGCTCTGTCTGCAGCCAAACAGCATCTGTCCAGGTCAACTGGACTGTCTTGGCTTAAACAGTAAGGGTGAAACACAAACCAGAAGACAGACTTGCTCCCTGTTACCCCCTCTACCCTCCCAAGGGAAGATAAAAGGGGAATAAGGAAGAGAGATTGAAGGGTTGGAAACTGAAACAAGAACAAATTCACTAACACTGAAAGGGAGTAACAGGTGGGGGAAAGAACAGATCTCTCCACTGATAAACAAATACATATAAACCCCATCTTCTTGATGGCAGGAATTGGTGGGTGAGGGTCCCTTGCAGCAAGGCTGCTTCAGGAGAAGGGTCCACAGCTCTTTCAGGGTCTTAATGACCCTCTCTCTAGTTTCTCTTGGTTCAATACCATGCCAGGGTCACTCAAACCATAATAGCTTCCTGGGAAAGTGAGCCTAACAAATTGATCCCGTCCCAAGAATAATAGCAAAAAATAAGTTTACATCAACAGCCCTGCCTTGAAATGCTCCTCAAGAACAGGAAGTTCTGGGCAGGGATGGTTATTTCTTCTGACAATAGAAAAGGAGACATAGAGACCTGGAGCCCATGTCCATCAGGGGAAATGCTAGAGTTGCTCTTCCCTTCCCACCACCTCTGAGGCATGTGGGGATGCCCTGAGACTCCCCGATCACAGCACACACAAGGGCTCTCAGCCTCTGAGCATCCTCTTGGAGGTCCCTCCTGCTCCCCACCAGCAGGTCTCTCTTGGGTATGCAAGAGGAGCCCCCTCACGGCTGGTCTTACTGGGGCTCTGCATCATGCTGGGAAGAGGACCTTGTGCAGTGCACCCCACACCATTACATCTGCTGTCCTTTAAATAAGGAATGATTTTTCTACGAGTG